AGGTCCTTTCCAACGTTAGTGATTCTGTGAAGGTTGTCAGCAGCTCCCTGTTCTTATCTTCTTCTGTGGCAGCCTTGCATGGCTAACAACCTCTGCTTCTTTACTTCAGACAGTGCTAAACAGTTTGCAAAAGGACCTCTGTTGATGCTCTACTCCCACGCTTCTTGCCTGATCATGCAGTAAAAATTCAGTACAGTTTGTAAGAGCAAAATGAAAACTCAATGTAACAGAATAAACCTTACCACTTGAAAAAAATCTCTATCCACTGGAAGGGTTTTCTATGTATCAGTCAAAGCCGATCTATTGAACAAAAAACCACTAACAATTTCAAGAGTATGATGTTAATGTATATGGGTATTTTAAATACAGTTTTGGACTGTCCTAAATTTACCTAACAACAAAAAAAAAGCACCCAAAAACCCAACCACTCAAACAACAGAATCTATACTTTTGCATTAGGTAATATTTTGAGTTTTACTATTTTTCAAGCCAGTTCAAGGTCATACACACCCATATTTATTTTAAAACACAGAAAGACCAATAGAGGAGCAGACCCATGGCCTATCAGTCAATACCAGACAAGCCAAGAGAAGGAACAAGCAACCTCACAGTCAAAGATCAAGTGAACTACTTCTGCATAAAACAGTATTTCTTTCCTGGATATTAACCACTGCTTTTCCTGAATTCTGATTTATCACAGTTTTTTGTAGTATTATGGAACTATGGCATTTCTCATTATCCAGGCAAGACTTCTAGTTGCTTATTACACTTTCTACGTTAGAAATCAACACAAAATTACACTGGCGCCCAAGGCTTATTATGAATTCCTTTTGCAGACACGTAACTATGCTTATGCAAAAGTACTACTTCCAGGAATCTTATCAGATAGCTCCTATTCCAGAAATTTCTTCTTCTAGCACTTAAAGCTTGTCATCACCTCCTCACCATTTCCAATCTTACATTTAATCCTGATCAGCATAAATTTATTTTTATGTAAATATTGCTTTTCACACTAAATAGAATTTTCTTAGGAAAAATCACTAATGGAACAACTATTTGCCCTTTCAAAATTAAGAAACCTTCCAACAACTGCAGAGCGGTCATATGTTTCTGCAAACAGGCAGAAAGTTAAAGAGAAGTGTTAAACTGTCTGAATTACTATCCTGTTATTTTGCCTAGCACAACAAAACAACCTAAAGAATCAAAATAAAATACCAAAAGACCAGACAGATTTCTAAATAGCAGCATACAAGCCAAATAAGCACAGTATTGGCAACTCAATAAATGAAGGCCCTGACAAGGAGCCATGTAGCTCACGGAATATCTCCCACAGCTTGGCATCGGGGTACTTCATGTTCCATACCCAAATGACAAGGAAAGCATACTACTATATATTTTGTTTGGCTGGATGAATGTTTTCGTTTGATTCTTCAGCCCATCTAGCTTCTCTTGTGGAAGAGTAAATAGATGCAAAGAATTGAGATATACTCAGATTCAAGGCTCAAAAACCTACTTACATTAGCACATTTTCTTTCATTATACAATCATTCATTTCTGTTACGTAATTAGCTTAAGATTTTTGTCTTTTAGAGACATAACAGATTACCACTGTTCAGTAACTCAACTGTCTCTGTAGGAATACATGGTTGTAATATGGCCAAATTCCAACTAGGGAGATGCTGCTCTGGTTTCAAAGACCATCTAACATCAAGGAGAAGCTTTCTACTTTCTACCTAAACTAACACAAGGTAGCTAATGATTTTAATTAAGGAAACAAAAAAAAAAAAATCACATGCAATATTTCTTAGTATCATGCACATGTAAAATTATAATTTACTGTCTTCAGAAAGCTATCCAACAGTCTTGTAAGCATTTAGTTTTATAGATTTGTGCAAGTCACCAGTTTACTAAATATTCAGTGGTCAAATAAATGCTAAGGATAAACAAAAAAAACTTATTACACTGCAGAAGGCAAATGTACATTACTGAGTTTAAGAAATATTTACAAATACTCCTCCTAAGAACTCCAGCTAAGATTTGAACTTTAAGTTTCAAGTACTGTACACAATGTCGCAATGAACAGTGCCACAGCCAAACAGCACAGCTGCAACAATACTGCTGGTACTGAAACATTGTCAAAACTAACTTCATGAATGGCAGTGTTAGGCAGCTGATAACATTATCCCTACATGTTTTGCTCCAGTATTCAGGAAATAGTTAGGATCACACATGCATTAGGGTTGAAGAGCTATGATAAAAATGTCCTATGTAAATGTCCTATCATTTTCAATATGGCTAATTTACTTCTTCTTAAGTTTTTCCTACAATCTTTAGTTTATCTTGGAGCAAAGCCACAATACTTCATGCGGCAGCAAAGTATTACCACAGACATGACTGTGTTCTTACTACAGACAAAACATTGTTAGTCAGTAAGTAAAACCTAATTCAGACACACTTAACGATTAATACAAAATGTGAATACTGAAGAAATATTGGTCTGGATGCATTCTTGGCCTGTTTTGACATGAAGTTTCCTCTAAGTGTTCTGTATTTAGAAAGGATAATAAGTATTTCTATGTTGTACATCTCATAGACGATTACTTGTATTTTTATGTTGTACATCTCATAGAAGATTACTTTTACTGCCTTTTCAGCAACTGGATGAATAGTTACAGAAGGTACAGAAATATCAATATCTTCATTATAGCACCTTCTGATCTTTTAAAAAGATATCTTAAATTTAGTCCTTTCTCACAAGTGAAGTAGTATGAAAAATTAATGAAATACATTAATTTATTGAGATTAGTGGAGAAAAACCACGAGATAATGTAGAAAGCAAAAAAGTGGCCATTATTTTTCCATTTTGTTCCCTTATAGTTCAAAAAGTGAAAAAAATAATCAAAGGGCTTACAGTTTCAATAAAGGAAATACTCTTATTATTTCCTTAAAATCTAGACAAAAAAATAGAGATAGTATCAAAAAAAGTGATATACTATTTCGTTTTTTCATCTTAATTCATGCAGATTGAGTTCTATAGTTATCGAACTACTGAACTTACAAACTTAAAAAAACCACCTTCTGAATGGTTGAGCTTATACAGTAATCTTATAAAGTCTGAAGATAAATAATCACAGTATCATTATTTACAATTATTTCATATAAATTACCTTTTGGGGGATATTCTTTAAAAACTATATACTACAAGCACACAAAATTAATGCTATTTATAGGGACTGTTTTTTATTTCTCTCATTTTGTATCTCCTGCTGTTTAATTTTTCAGCTATGGAAGTAAAAAGGTATAAAGTCTTTGTTTAAATAAGTATGCCACAAAATTACATCGATTTTTTTAAGTAAGTCTTAAAAACTCATAAAAATACAGTCAAAATACTTAGTGTTCATACACCTGAGATGTACACATGAATTAAGTGTGCATGTAAACAAATACATGTATGTCCACTCCACTGAGAAAACACAAATGAAATCAAGACTAAGAAATCAATTCAAAACCTTATCCTACCATCTGTGAATGAGTTCAAATATTTTTGAAATTTCTTATTTTATTGATTTCTGGTTAGTTAGCCATAATGTGTCATTCATGAAAATTCTGACCTTAAGAAAGTAAACACTACCTGTGTATAACAGTGATCAAATGTACATATTTATTATGAATTAACAGGTAGCACTGACAGAGCAAGATGCACAACAATGAATCCACACCTGCGTAACAGCAGCCATGTACATATTTTTCCCCCTGTTCTTCATTTGTCTGAACAAAATAGTGAAATATTGGCATCTGATTTTTTCTGGCAACAAATGCACACTTTTCATTAACATACCCTGATGCTGACTTAAGATAATTCCCACAATTTATACAAACTCTGATAATACTGTAACTGCCATTTTAACACAAACGAACTGCTATTTGTACCAAGGCCACAAGCTCCAGAATAGCGTGCAGAGTAACCTCCCACGTTTTCAATTTGAACATATATGCACAATTAATGTAAGCAGCCTAAGACAGGCAACACACACAATATGTGTATTAAGATATGCTTCATTATGGTGATTTTTGCCATGGAGTTTAAATAGAAGTGTAATGAGTGCAATGTTTCACATTTAAGTTATAAAGCAAGAAGGTATTATTGTAATAATCAGTTACAACTTCCATTACAGTCTGGAGAAGCCCTATAATCTAATGCCCATCGCAACCTCAAAAGTATTTTTTCCAACCTCTTGATCTTCAAATCACCAATTTCCTACAAGCACTGCCAATTTCTCCATAGTTCATTTTAGCTCAGACAGCCATCTCACTCTCATTATTTACCATACATACCACACTTTTTGCATGACTTTGTCCAGTTTGCCTATTACACTGAGAAGTCCATTAACAAAGTTGTATTTCACCACAGAACCACGCCTTTAGTAATACTTGTGAAAGTTCAGCAAACCTTTTCTAGTTCGGCAATATGCTTGAACTGAGTGTAGTCAGCAAGAAACGAACAGAATACTGCAGGAGTAGTGACATCATTGGAAAATAGGATGCAGTTCTGCCTCTCCTGCCTGAGATCTCTTTTATATAGAGAAGGATAACACTAGTCTTCTGATTTTGTTTCATAGTGGAAATCCCCTCTTTAATGAGAATTCAGTAGAAGCCCATACTCCTTTTAGCAGTTGTCATCTCCTACCTGTATGACCTACAATACTTTTTCTTCTAGGTGTATAATTGTACACGTTACATTATTCAAATGAGAATAACCTTAGTGGGGAGAATAAAAAAAGTTTTAACTTCTCTCCTACCTTCAAAAGCTGCTTGCCGATTGTTGGACTCATTTTTTCATCCACCATAAGGATGACTATTCCTCTGTCATCCATACCTCGGCGTCCTGCACGACCTGACATTTGAATGTATTCACCTGAGGATATCTAGGATAAAATGAAAAAAAGAAAAAAAAATTAACAAACATTAGAAAAATAGCAAGAACATATAAAGTGCTATTTGAAGTTATACAGTAAATGACCACGATGTAAAAAAAATCAGCAGAGTTATCTAAGGCCTGAAGTTTTCACAGATTGAATTTATTACTCATAATGATCACTAAGCTACTAAGATATAAATCCATGACTATGAAATAATGTATGTCAGCAGCATAAGTTAACTAATGCTCACATAGCTATAGTGATTTCCATAGCATGGTGCATAATTTTAATAAGCACAAAAAATATTTTACTAATGTCTTATGTGATGGAAGGTTGCTGGGCATGGTGGGGATTATTAAAACGTATCTTCAACATACTGATAATGCATCTTCAAATAATGTATCATTTCATTCAAATGATTCAAATGTAACATTAAAATACTGATACCTAGCAAGACCAGTATTTCTATGCCTACTAACTGTGAAATTGAAGAGGTTATAAAGGACTGGGAGATGGACAGAAAGCCAACTATAACTCATTCCCTACGCCTCACTAAGTTCTAAATCAGCTTTTTTTTGTCATCTGTGGAACTTGCATTCCCAACAACTTCCTGAGTTTCACTTTAAGTCAGATCTCAAAAGCTACTTAAGGAAACTGTGCAAAATAATTTTAAAAGCAGGAGTTCCACAATTCCGACACCTCAAAGGTAGCTAATTCTCACATATATTTTAAGAACATACAATAACTAAATTTCAATCATGAAACTGAACATCCCAAAATAAGATTGAAAAGACGTTTTCTTCATAATGCATGTGTCAAGTCACTTGTACTGTTTACCGCAATTTTCCCGTCCCTGAAAGATGAACCCTGACACCTGCTTATAAGGTTTTGCTCTGATGACTTGTACACCCTTATTATTATTTACATGTGAATCACATACCTGGTTTTAATGTTTAAAAGCTTTAAATTATTTGTTTTCCAGCTGTTTAAGAACCTGTCTCTCGCTGCTCACATTTGTGTGTCTCTGTGGGCTATCCAAAATATTTGGCTATAACAGAACAATCAATACTCTCCTAAGGCAACAGATCTCTCTTGCACCTGTCAAAACCTAAATTTAATGATCATTATGACATGATACTGAGCCCACTTTTTCTCCACATTCTTCTGACAAGAAGAAAATATTCGGGTCTCACAGTTTTGGACACGTTGCATAGAAGTCTTAGTCTAATCCAATGTCCACTGCTAACCTGTGTTTGACACCCTTTTGCTGTATCTATTAAAATATATAATCTCAATAATTTGAGGAATCTTGTCTTCAGGAATTTGTACACTAATTATAAATGGATTAGTGAACAAAGAACAATTTTTGAAAGAAAAAATATTTTCTACTATATTGAAGTGGGTACATGAAGAGTAAATTTAATTCTAATAACGTTTAAATAATGCAATTCAGTTATTCTATAGAACTTGTTCTTCACTTACCCATCGAAAGTCTTTTCCATCAAATTTGCTGGCACTTGTAAATAGGACAGTCCTGGCTGGCATATTAATCCCCATAGCAAAAGTCTCTGTTGCAAATAAGGCCTAAATAAACAGTTTAAAGTTAAGCAAGCAAAAACAAAGGCTCTTAAGCAAACATGCAAGCAGTCAGAGATTGCTACATAAAACCTCTCCAGATTTTACTACTTATGTACAATCAACACAAGAACATAGACGGATTCAATATTTAAAAACTGGACCAAAAACATTCTTTCCCCCTTCCCTTATTTCCTCTGGGAAAACATGAAAGCTAGCTAGATGGGACCATGTAAAAGAGTCCAAAAGAAAACACAAGGATGTGCAAATTATATTAAAGAAAAACAGTATTTAATTTCCACATTCCAAGTTCGCAAGAAGAAAACAGCAGTTAGCTACCAAAAAAACCCCAATAACTTTCATTTAAGGTTAGATTTTTCTGAATGTATGTCTCTTAGGGCGACCAACAAACAGCTTGGTAAATATCTACAGTCATTTATAGGAGTCAAATATATCACAAAACAGTGAAGAAGATGTTAAAGTTGGGCATTGTAAGTTTAAATATTTTAGAATAAAATCTGGAACACTTAAGAAAAACTACAGCTGTAATTGTGCACTAACATCAGGTATCTAAGGCAAAGTATTAAATACTACACATTTTCCCTTAGAGAGAGGACCCCCCCCCCCAAACTTCAAGAACTGCTTTTTTTTCAGATAAAGATGGGGGCATTTATGCAAATATTAGCATTTCTCAAGGGAAGGGAACTACACCAATTAACTTGTGCCACTGGAACAGGTACAGGCTACCAGAAGTGCTGTGTGCACTTGTAGACGCCAGTATGTAGATCCACAGAATGGAGCCTTTCCCTTCATATGTCTGTAGATCTTTTTAAAATTGCATACTTAAGGGTCCACACAATGTTCAAAAAAAGTTTTTGGCAAGTACTAAGCCTTACACTTCCTGCATAGAATCACATTCAAAACACAAAGCATTTTTCTGTTTGGCATGTGCAATGAGTCCTTCACCTTTTTCAGTCAAGGTGCAGATCTCCACTATAATACTAGTGTACATTCTGAGTTAAGACATACTTCTTGGTTTTTTAGGATTACTGACTGACAACAGAGAAAAACCTAAACAGTGACATGAAATATATACCTTTATTAGGCCCTCTGAGAAAAGAATTTCTATAGTTTCTTTTAAGATAGGAAGCAGACCACCATGATGGATACCAATTCCTCGCTTCAGAAGAGGAAGTACATGCTCAACCTAGGAAGAAACATATGAAGACCAGTAACCAAATTTTAATGTTTGTCACTAAAAAATAAAACCTGTATGGAAAACCTCAACAATTCCCTTAGTGTTCATGTAATTCACTATTTCCTGATCTTAAATACAAAAAATATCCCTTCAATATTACTTTCCAGTTAGAACTTGCAACGATATGGAGGGTAAAGTCAGAGGCCAATCTTTTCAGTAAACTAGTCTTAAATTGGGTTAGGCCTACTTTGTAGCCATGCCCTAATTTACACATGCAGTTAGTATATAAAATTTGCCTCCATTAAAAAAAAACTTCATTTAAAATGATTTTTTGAAATAATGATCCTGATGTGCATGAGGTATTTTGTTTTGATTTTAGTTACAGTGATTTCACTTATTGATAGGTGCTATAAAACAGTGAAGTCAGCACCTGTGAGAGCCATGCAAGGAAATTCATGCTGTAAATGACTGAATTAATCTCTTAAGTTCTGAAAACATTATACTTCAAACAAATACCTACATAAACTTAGCTTTGTGTGTTTTTTTCTTTGAAAACAAAGATATTCATTAAAAATCTATTAACACTTGGTTACCACCCCAAACCTAATTCTGAGAATAAGCTTTTGACATATCTTTGTCCACAGAAGACCAAAACAGATTACTTCGATACAATGCCACTGTTACAAGCTTACAAAAAAATGCCACCACATAACACCTCATATATTGGATTCCTGTTTTCTATTTTTCTCAAGTTCACAAACAAAACAGGTATGTGGAATCTGAGGCAAGTAGGCATGGTCAAAAATTAAATGGTTGTTTTTTTCAAGGAGAAATTGCCATGCTTACAATAAAAATCCCTACATTAAGAAATGACAGACACAAATAAATAAAGGAAAGAGGGGGTGTAATGGGTTTGCATGGCAAGGTTTTGGTAGCGGGGGGGTTGCAGGCGTGGCTTCTGTGAGAAGCTGCCAGAATCTTCCCTTGTGTCAAAAAGAGCCAATGCCAGCTGGCTGCAAGATGGACCCACCGCTGGCCAAGGCTGAGCCCATCACTGATGACGGTAGCACATCTGGGGGAAAAGATTTAAAAAGAAGTAAAATAATTTATGCAATTGCAGGCAGAGAGAGGAGTGAGAATATGTG